ACTAATTAGTGTCCTCTTCTTCAGTTTGAAGAACTCCCTTTAACACTTCTTGCAAGGCAAGTCTAGTAGTGATAAACTGTCTCAGTTCCTGTTTGTCTGAGAAAGTCTTTATCACCCCTTCATTTTTGAAAGAAAAGATTTCTGGGTATAGTATTCTTGGTTGACAGGGTTGGTTTATTCAGGATTTTTAATATAACATCCCACCTCCTTCTGGCCTACAAAGTTTCTGCTTGAAAAATCTGCTGATAATCTAAGGGAGAGTTCTCTTGTGTGTAACAATTCACTATTTCCTCACTGTTTTTAAAACTTTCTCTGTCTTTTTGCATGTATGGCAGGGGGAGGGTAGTGAGTATTCCAGTTTCTTCCATCCTATGGCGAAGGTGAGTGCCGGTATTTATCTCTCCCTCTCTCTGCACTAAGCTGGAGAGATAATCTGTGACAAATGCCTGTATTTGTGTTCAAACTGCACCCTCTGATCCTGGAGAGATAGCTGCTTGATATGGTTAGAATCTGTGTCCCCATCCAAATCTCATGTCAAGTTGTAATCCGCAATGTTGGAGGTGGGCCTGGTGAGAGGTGATTGGATCGTGGGGGTAGATCCTTCATGAATGGTTTAACACCATCTCTTTGGTGCTATTCTCATGATAGTGAGTGAGTTATCATGAGATGTGGTTGTTTAAAAGTATATAGTACCTCCCCCACTCCACTCCTACTCCAGTCATGTGAAGATGCCTGCTCTGGCTTTGTCTTCTGCCATGAGTAAAAGTTCCCTGAGCCCTCCTCAGAAGCAGATGCTGCTATGCTTCTTGTATAGCCCATAGAACCATGAGCCAATTAAACCTCTTTTCTTTATAAATTATGCAGTCTTGAGTATTTCTTTACAGCAATGATAGAATGGACTAATACACACTGAAAGTGGGCCCGTTGTATGCCCATGTCTTTGTTTTCTGTAGTCCCAGGCCACTTAGGAATGCAAAGTCTCATTGGGAATGCAAAGCCCCATTAGTCCCCAAAGGTAGATTGATAAGGAGACAGTCCCTTGGATGGAAACTATAGAAGTTTTTGTAGTCAGTACATGGACAAGCTTCTTCCAGGAAGAATGGGTCAACTGGATTTATCACTGGGATGAACCAAAGGAAAGGGTCAGAAAGTGCTTAGCTCAAGCTCAGGATGACAGGGAGCTACTCTTTCTCCCCTTAGGTCCTCAATGCAAATTCATTAAAAGCAAGGTCAACAAGTAGCCACCAAAAGAGTAAGCAGGAAACCCCTTGCAGAGAGAAAATAGGAGCTGAGCATTCTAGTCCCTTTTCTGCACTGCTCCCAGGAGATGTAGCCCCTGGAAGTGTTATTATGCCCATTTAAAACCACCTTTTTGCCTGGGTGCAATGGTTCACACCTGCAATCCCAGCACTTTGGGAGGCTGAAGTGGGTGGATCACTTGAGGTCAGGAGTTCAAGACCATCCTGGCCAACATGGTGAAACGCTGTCTCTACTAAAAATACAAAATATTAGCCGGACATGGTGGTGCATGCCTGTAGTCCCAGCTACCCAGGAGGCTGAGACAGGAGAACCGCTTGAACCCAGGAGGTGAAGGTTGCAGTGAGTCAAGATTATGCCACTGTGCTCCAGCCTGGGTGGCAGAGCGAGACTCTGTCAAAAAAAAAAAAATTGTATGCGATCTGGGAAGACTTGCATATGCATAATCCCTTCAACTTGTAGAGCTAGGAGGTTTCAGTTCAGGTGGTAGCTGCTATAAAAGTTGGGCCACTCAATGCATGGCATAAACCCCTCACAGGGAGAAACAGGGAACAGCATTTTTAATGTACTTTTCTGTACTGCTCGAAGATTTTGAGGCCCCCAGAAGTACATGTGCACCTGTATAAATCTACCATTTTTGTCTGTGGTCTAGAGAGATTCTCATATGCCTAGTCCTCTCTGCTCCTAGAGCTGGGAGTTTTAGAGTGCAATCCTTCCAGTAGAAGCTGCAAAAGTTGAGGCATTCTACATGTGGACAAACTCTCTTCAAGAAGGAGTAATAGACCTGGAGTTATCACTGGGGTGAGCCAGGGAAAAAGGCTTGGGAAGTGCCAATCTGCTTTCTGAGGCTACCAGCAGGCTATTTGCCTCTTTAACTCCCCAATGCAAGTTAATTAATGCAAGTTAATTAGAAGCCCAGGCACCAAGTAGCCCCTAGAAGAGTGTCATAAACCCCTCCCAGAGAAAAACAAGAAGCTGCATTTTTTAAGCCCTTCTCTGCACTGCCTCCAGAGAGTGAGGCCCCTGGAAGTTCTTGTTCTGTAGCATAAAACCACTGCTTTTTTCCTGTAGGTCACAAAGACTTACATATTCCTAATCCCCTCCACTTCCAGAGTTGATTAATTGAGCCGAACCATAGGGAATTTCGGAGATAAAGTACTATATGTGAGACTCAAACCCTCCTCTCTACAGGGAGAAGTTGTGTATTAGGGATTCCTTTCCTGGTTGTATGGCAGTGTCCAAGGTGAAGTTCATGCCTGAGTGCACCTCAGCTTTTCCCACTCATTTGATGCAGATGTTTTTTCTCAGTTGCCCAATGTGTAGAACTCTCTCGATTGGTTTCTGTCTTTTTTCAGAGAGAATCAATCACTGAATAGTTTGTTCAGTTTGTTTCTTTGTGGGTGAAGGGAGAGTCATGAGTCTCCTATTTCAACATGTTGCTGAAATCATCTAAGGGTAAGCCTTTAGGCTTGGTAACAATAACTTCTGGATAGGAGACTTCCCTTGAATCTTTCACAGCATGAACATTCTAACTATTTTTGTGCCAACATGCATTTCATGGTGGAAGAAATCACAATCACCAAATGCAACTTTACATTTCAAATAATCCTGTAGTTCATGAATTAGGCATTCTGAGTTTGGAATAATGCAGACTGTTAACAGAAGTAGGGGAGGGACAAACATTGCTGGTGACGACATTGGTATAGAACCACCTGTGAGCATCAAATGCAGCCAAAGTACAGAAACAAGGTAGGGACAGATCAGTGTCATGTTGCATACATGAGATGGCAGTATCCTTCTAGAGTCTTCCCATTTACATTCACTTCGAAAAGCAACACAGCCTAGGAGATATAAAGAGAACAAACAATGCAAAAGCAGTGGCAACCATAAGACTATGTGTTTGCTCTCAAACACAACAGGCCTCATCTCTGATTCTTTTCAGGCTAGAATTTGACATTTTGGAGATCCAGATTTTGGAAAAATTTGCCTTTGCTTCTTCCTCTGCCTCCAAGACATTCACGTTCTTCTAAGAGTCCTCACTACCTTATTTTACACAATATGAGAGCACATAGATGTTTTCATAGAAGAGAGAGCACACAGTCATAACCAAATGGGCACTCCTTTCAGCTTTGAGTTCCCTGGGGCACTGTGAGTTGTCCAGAGAGCTCTCCAAAACACAAGTCAGGGCACCAGTGATTAGAAGAAAGCAGAGCAACTGCTTCCAGTAAAATTCATAGTCTATGATGCTCACGCCAGTGACATGGAATAGGTCAACCTGACACCCATGGCATGTCCACATGGTACAGTGCACTGAACTTGAATGGGGGAGGTTATTCTCTATACGGTCCCTGACAGGTAAATTTGCCTCTCTTAATAGTGTCTCCTAGCAGTGTTTGGAGATGGCCTGAGATGACGCTTGCTAAGGGAGGCTATCTGAGGAAGCACCAAATAAGATCTCTTAGAGACCATGCCCTTATAGCCCACCTACCTCTGATGATGTCTATGTTGGTGGTTGATGATGATCTCTTTTCTAAGACTCCCTTGTCCAAGAAAAGCTCTTGAGAAAGGTGAAGACAAACCTGAGATACCCAGAGCCTGGTGATGCCTCAGAGGTGGCTCACAGCCTCTGGTCTGATGCGGGAAGTTTTCTTCTCTGATGTCTCTTTCATCGAACAGCCCAGCAAGAAGCACTAGATTGGAGCATAACACTGCACACCTGCCTCTGGGCATGGCCTGTCCTCCTGAAACTTCTTCACATTTGACTCCGTGTTCTGATTAGCCACATGTGACCCAACCCTGGATCTAGCCCCAGGATCACTTCAGAGGAGAAGCGATTGCAGAGTAAGGGAGAGTCTGTACCACAGTGGTTAATTTCCACTAACTCACAGTAGGATGACAGGCAAGATCCACTGCCACTCTGTGTCAATTACTCCTTAGCAACAGCAGCATGAACCACCTGTTTCCCACCCTTTGGTGTTCCTCTTGATCAAAAGAAAAGAGAATGAACTGGCCCCTAAGGAAGAGGGCTTGGGAAAGATAGGGACTATCCAGTTAATGGAAAGTGCTGGAGTGTTCAATCCTGAGACCCAAATTGGGTCCTATTAGAGGAGTAGCCATGTTGGTGGGTGCAGGATGGGAGGAAGTTTGGGGTTGGTGCAGGCACTCACTCTCACTAGGATGCCTCTGGTCTCAGGTAATGGAGAGAACTGAGCAAAAAGTGAGCCCAGAGGAAACATTCTCTTCCGGCCACATCATATCCTCTCACTCTCTTATGGCCTTAGGCATGTCGCTGGCCTTCCTGGGACTCATTATCCTCATTGTAAAGAGAGAGCAATCTGAAGCTCAGAAAGAGATTGGGGAGCATGAGGTGGGGGTGCACCAAGGCTAAGGAGACCAAAGCAGTGCTTGGAGGCCTCCCACTCTTCACCTCGGGTTCTAACTACCACCCATCTCATGCTTAATGGGTCCTTCTGACTCCAGGGTGAGAAATGTTCTTAGCATCAGGAGATGCTGCACATGAGCAGTTCCTCCCCCTGGGAGTACTGGCTCAGTGAGCAAAACAGCAAGGGGCTGGGCCTCCTGAGGGCTGGCAGGGATACATGGGCCAAAGAGGAAGAGGGAGGGTAGAGAAGCATAACCAGGGAGAGAAATTGAAGACCAGGACACAAGACAAGCGGGGCACCTGTGGGGGCTACAGTGGGCTCTCAATGATCACCTGTAGTGGCAGCAAAAGAGGCAGGATCCCTGGGCATTTGTTCTGGTTTATTTGACAGGGACAGGGAGTTCAGACAGCAGGGAGGGTGGCATTCCTGTTGACGTTCTTGTGCTAATGGTTTGATGTCGTTGCGCTTCGGATGTGGGCACAGTCTCGGATGGAAGGGTTCAGGGAGCAGGATGCACATCCCAGCCCACTCTCCCACTCACAGGATGCTCATGCAAACGTTCCCACAGAAGGCTGAACAGCATATGTTATTTGCTTCACACTTTTGGAAATATGAACAGTGGTGGATGCATAGATCTATGCTGGGTCGCTTCTCACAGACCTTGATTCCTGAAATGGTGCAGAAGCAGGGTCAATGAAACCATGCACCTACAGAGCACCCTTCTCAAGCTTGAAGTTCCTCCATGGCCCCAGAACCAAGGCCCCCCTGACCACTACAACTCTCCTGGATTCTTCAGGGAACTTCCTTCCGGCCCATCACCAATCCTAGTGATTGGCAGTATCTTAAATTCTGTCTCCCTGCTCTGCATCTCACCCCAGTAGACCTCAATGCCTGGGTTTCCTGGACCCTCACCATACACTTGCATTCAGAACTCTGTCTCCCCATTAATCATGGTGAAGTCACTCCCATAGGAGTCACCTTAGTGAAGTTGCCCCCATAGAATCTACAGTTTGACCCTGAGAGCTCAAAGAAGCCTGAGACATTTCCAAGCCCTCCCCTATTCTCCAGAATTTGCAGAGCCCAGACAAGAAAATGAACTTGCCTTTCATCCCTCCCTTTCCTCTCCTCACTGTCACTGTCCCTAATATCCCTTCCCACCACCACTCTCCTGGCTCCTTTGATGATACACTTAACTTTGCCCTGTATATCCCAACTTTTCATTGCTCTATGTCCTTTTTACCCTATACTTATACCCATTTCTACACCTACACCTACCCTCATAACCACTTCTAGATGTTTACTGCTCACAGGTGTGCATAAATCAAAGAATAATTGTCTTGCTTTCCCATTGGATTCTCAGTCCTGGTACACCTTTCACTATGGGATGTACCATTTGTCTCTAAGTATTGGGAGCAAACAACAAAAGATGTAGGTTCCCCCTTCATTCCCGCTACTGATCCCAAGGCCAGGTAAAGGGGTTGGAGGGTCATGGTTTGGGACAGTCCAGAGTCTGCACAGCATTGTGGCCAGAGCTGGATATGCAGAAAGGTTCCAGCTCCTAGGTCCTACTCAGACTGGACACATCTCCTCCGTTCCCCCTACCCAACTCCCCCTCACCCATCCAGCAGCCCATCACCTACTCTGCATCCTCATCTTGTCATAGTATCCTCCCTGGGCCTGAAGCAGCAGCACACAGAGAACCAGGACAGGCAGCAGAGACTGGGATGCCATGACTCTGACCAGAACGTGAGCCCTAAGTCTGGCCAGGCAGTCACAGACTTCCCTGCAGAGCTGCCTGTGGAGAGGGAAGGAAAGAAAGAAGGAATGATCTTCAGCTCCTCGCTGCCTCCACTGGCCAAGTCAGGGCAGAGCAAGAGTCCTTGCTTCCTGCCTTTGCCTTCTCCTAACCCTGTCCTTCTCCATACAGGATAGGGCTTTTGCAGGAATGATGCCTCTTCTCACATAACCAGTCCTGTGTTCTTGCTAACAGAGTTTTTCTTTTCTGAAAGGTACTATTTATTTCTGCTTTCTAGTTACAAAATGCTTTACAGAAAAAAAGAAAAGAAAAAATATCATTTTTTAAAAGGCGCTTAGAATTAACCTATATTTTATTACATTCTCTTTTAGTTCTTCTGTAAACCATCTTTTATTTTTATTTTCTCATTTTTGAATCACCTATCCTTTGTTACCTACCTTCTGCCACCTTTATTTAGTCATGCAAATATTTACAATGTCATTATTTCTCAAAAAGAAACGACATAAGTTTTTTTTTTTTGGGGGGGGGTGAGGGTAGCTACAGATAGACACTCCAATTTCCATAGTTGTGAAGGCAGAAATCATATCATGAGCCCCTTTAAGAGGTGACTATTTGCACATAATGGATGTGTTCATTATAAATTCCTTTTTTTTCTTTTAGACAGAGCCTCACTCCACACCAGGCTGGAGTGCAGTGGCGTGATCTTGGCTCACTGAAACCTCCACCTTCCGAGTTCAAGCAATTCGCACCTCAGCCTCCTGAGTAGCTGGGATTACAGGCACGTGCCATCACACCCAGATAATTTTTGTATTTTTAGTAGAGATGGGTTTCTGCCATGTTGGTCAGGTTCATCTCAAACTCCTGATCTCAATTGATCCACCCATCTCAACCTCCCAAAGTGTTGGGATTACAGGCGTGAGCCACCACACTCGGCCTAATTATAAATTATTCTTAACAATTCATTACACAAAACCCTATATGATTGAGCTATATTTTTAATATTATTTTAAGTTCTGGGGTAAATGTGCAGGATGTGCAGGTTTGTTGCATGTGCCATGGGGGTTTGCTGCACCTATCAACCCATCACCCAGGTATCAAGCCCAGCATGCATTAGCTATTTATCCTGATGCTCTCCCTCCCTTGACAGGCCCCAGGGTGTGTTGTTTCCCTCCCTGTGTCCATGTGTCCTCATTGTTCAGCTCCCACTTATAAGTGAGAACATGGAGTGTTTGGTTTTCTGTTCCTTCATTAGTTTGCTGAGGATAAATGGCTTCCAGTTCCATCCATGTCTCTGCAAAGAACATGATCTCATTCCTTTTTATGGCCACATAGTATTCCATGGTGTATATTTATCACATTTTCTTTATCCAGTCTATCATTGATGGGCATTTGGGTTAATTTCATGTCTTTGCTATTGTGAATAGTGCTGCAATGAACATACGCATGCACGTGTCTTTATAACAGAATGATTCTATTCTTTTAGGTATATACCCAGTAATGGGGTTGCTGGGTCAAATGGTATTTCTGGTTCTAAATCTCTGAGGAATCATCATATTGTCTTCCACAATGGTTGAACTAATTTACATTCCTACCAACAGCGTGAAAGCATTCCTATTTCTCTACAACCTCACCAGCATCTGTAGTTTCTTGACTTTTTAATAACCTCCATTGTGACTGGCATGAGATGGTATCTCATCATAGTTTTGATTTGCATTACTCTGATGTTGAGCTTTTTTTCATGTTTATTGGCTGCATATATGTCTTCTTTTGAGAAGTGTCTGCTCGTGTCCTTTGCCCACTTTTTAATGGGATTGTTTGTTTTTTCTTATAAATTTAAGTTCCTTGTAGACTCAGGATACTAGACCTTTGTCAGGTGGATAGATTGCAAACATTTTCTCCCATTTTGTAAGTTGTCTGTTCACTCTGATGATAGTTTATTTTGCTGTACAGAAGCTCTTTAGTTTAATTAGATCCCATTTGTCAATTTCTGCTTTTGTCGCAATTGCTTTTGGTGATTTTGTCATGAAATCTTTGCCCATGCCTATGTCCTGAATGGTATTGCCCAGATTTTCTTCTAGAGTTTTTATAGTTTGGGGTTTTATATTTAAGCCTTTAATGCATCTTGAGTTAATTTTTGTATAAGGCATAAGGAAGAGACCCAGTTTCAATTTTCTGCATATGGCAAATAGTAGCAAAAAGAGCTGTGATTATTATATTAGAGTCAAACAAAATACACATTGTGTCAAATATTGTTAAAAGAACCAAAATCATGATTATATATTGATAAAAGGGCCAATTCATCAAAAAGATATAAAAATTATAAACATATACACACCAAGCGATAGAGCTTCAAAATATATGAAGCAAACACTGACAGGATTGAAGGGAGACATAGCACTACAGTAATAGTTGGAGAGTTCAATATCCCATCATGGCATAATAAGAAATATATTTGATCTTTGTCCCCAGTTCCTGGCACAAGGTTCCTAAAACTCTTGGAATTTCCTGAGTGATAGGTGTGTCTTTTGTTATTCATAAGGAGCCCCTTTTGATTCCACCTGAGTTTCTGCTAATGAGGTTACTTGGAGTGGGGCCCCTAGGTAGACTCAGGTTGGAGCTGGTCACCAGAAAAATCAAGTGATTAGAGGGTTGGAACTTTTAGACCCACCCACTCTCCTCCAGGAAGTTAAAGAAGGAAGGAGTTGAAGCTCTATAAAAACTCTTAAACAATAAGATTTGATGAGCTTCTGAATTGGTGAACATATCCATGTGCCAGAAGGGTGGCACACCCAACTCACAAAGACAGAAACTCCTGTGCTTGGAACCCTTCTGAAGCTCACCCTACTTACTTCTTTTTTTTTTTTTTTTTTTTTTTTTTTTTTGAGACGGAGTCTCACGCTGTTGCCCAGGCTGGAGTGCAGTGGCGCGATCTCGGCTCACTGCAAGCTCCGCCTCCTGGGTTCACGCCATTCTCCTGCCTCAGCCTCCTGAGTAGCTGGGACTACAGGCGCCCGCCACCGCGCCCGGCTAATTTTTTGTATTTTTAGTAGAGACGGGGTTTCACTGTGGTCTCGATCTCCTGACCTTGTGATCCACCCGCCTCGGCCTCCCAAAGTGCTGGGATTACAGGCTTGAGCCACCGCGCCCGGCACTCACCCTACTTACTTCATCTGGTTATTCATTTGTATCCTTTATAATAAACTGATAAACTTTAAGTAAAGTGTTTCCTGAGTTCTGTGAGCTGTTCCAGCAAATTATCAAACTTTCAGATGGGATTGTGGGAGCCCCTGATTTATAGCCAGTAGATCAAAAGTGCAGGAGGCCCAAGACTTGCAACTGGCACCTGAAGTTGGGAGTAGTCTTGTGAAATCAAGCCTATAAGCTATGGGGTCTGCACTAACTTCAAGTAGTTAGTGTCAGAATTAAATTAAATTTTGGAACACCCAGTTGGTGTCCAGAGATAGGAGAATTGGTTGTGGGTGTTGGAAAGCATTCCAGGCCCTCTTTCAATAATGAATAGAATACGCAGACAGAAAAATCAATAAGGAAATAGGGTACTAAACAACACTATAAACCTAAGACAGACCTAAGACAAGAAGGGAATGCATATTCTTCTCAAGCACATATGGAACATTCTCCAGGATAAACTACATGTTAGGCCACAAAACAAGCCTAAATAAATTTTAAAAGATTGAAATTATACAGGCCAGGCGCGGTGGCTCACACCTGTAATCCCAGCACCTTGGGAGGCTGAGGCGGGCGGATCACAAGGTCAAGAGATGGAGACCATCCTGGCCAACATGGTGAAATCCTGTCTCTACTAAAACTACAAAAATTAGCCTGGTGTGGTGGCAGATGCCTGTAATCCCAGCTACTGAGGAGGCTGAGGCAGGAGAATCATTTGGAGGCAGGAGAATCACTTGAACTCAGGAGGCAGAGGTTGCAGTGAGCTGAGATCGCGCCACTGCACTCCAGCCTGGTGACAGAGCAAGACTCCGTCTCAAAAAAAAAAAAAAAAAGATTGAAATTATACAAACTATCTTCTCCAGCCACAATGGAACAAAGCTGAAATCAATAAGAGAAGGAAAACTGGAAAATTCTCAAAAATGTGAAATTAATACACTCTTTAACAACCAATGAGTCAAAGAATAAATCACAACGGAAATTAGAAAACACTTTGAGCCAGGCATGTTGACTCACACCTGTAATCCCAGCACTTTGAGAGGCTGAGGTGGGTGGATCACTTGAGCCCAGGAATTCAAGACCAGCCTGGGCAACATAACAAGACCCTGTCTCTACAAAAAACTAACTGGGCATGGTGGTATGCACCTGTAGTCCCAATTACTTAGAAAAAAACATTCGAACGAATGAAAGCAAAAACACAAAACACAATATACAAAAACTTATGAGATGTAGTAAAAGTAGTTCTCAGGGTAGAAAAATCTATAACTGTGAATACTTACATTAAAAAAGAAAGATCTCGGCCAGGCGCAGTGGCTCACGCCTGTAATCCCAGCACTTTGGGAGGCTGAGGCAGGTAGGTCATGAGGTCAGGAGATCGAGACCATCCTGGCTAACATGGTGAAACCCCATCTCTACTAAAAATACAAAAAATTAGCTGGGTGTGGTGGTACGAGCCTTGTAGTCCCAGCTACTCAGGAGTCTGAGGCAGGAGAATCACTTGAACCCAGGAGGCAGAGGTGCAGTGAGCCAAGATCATGCCACTGCACTCCAGCCTAGGCGACAGAGTGAGATTCTGTCTCAAAAAAAAAAAAAGATCTCAAATCAACAACCTGACTTTACATCATATGAAACTAGAAAGAGAAGAACAAACTACACCCAAAGCTAGCAGAAGGAAGGAAATAATAAACATTTGAAAACAGACAAATGAAATAGGAAAGACAAAACCAATAAAAAGAATCAACAAGACCAAAACTTGGTTTTTTTAAAATATCAATAAAATTGAAAATCTTTAGCTAGATTGACTAAGAAGAAAAGAGAAAAGACACAAATAACTAATATCAGAAATTAGAGTGGGACATCACCACCAACTTTACAGAACTAAAAAAAATTGTAAGAGAATACTATAACAATTTTATACCAACAAATTAGATAACCTGGAGGAAATGGACAAATTTCTAGAAACTCACAAATCACCAAGACTGACTTGAGAAGGAATAGAAAATATTAACAGACCTATAACAAATAAAGAGATAGAATCAGTAATTTTTGAAAAACACACACAACTCTCTTCAACAAAGGAATGCCTAGGGCTAGATGACTTCACTG